GGGCAGCTTGCATGTCTGGAAAGGCACCATTAATGCAGAGAACTATGTTCAGGTTCTAGAACAACATATGCTCCCATCTAGACGTCATCTCTTTCAGGGAAGACCCTGCATTTTTCAACACGATAATGCCAGACCACATTCTGCAGCAATCACAACATCATGGCTACGTAGGAGAAGGATCCGGGTACTGAAATGGCCAGACTGCAGTCCAGATCTTTCACCTATAGACAACATTTGGCACATCATAAAGAGGAAGGTGTGACAAAGGAGGCCCTAAGACGATTGAACAGTTAGAGGCCTGTATTAGACATGAATGGGAGAGCATTCCTATTTCTAAACTTGAGAAACTGGTCTCCTCTGTCCCCAGACGTCTGTTGAGTGTTGTAAGAAGAAGGGGGGATGCCACACAGTGGTAAAAATGGACTTGTCCCAACTTTTTTGGGATTTGTTGACGCCATGAAATTTGGAAACAACAGATTTTTCCCTTAAAATGATACATTCTCTCAGTTTAAACTTTTGATCTGTGATTTGTGTTCTATTCTGAATAAAATATTAGATGTTGGCACCTCCACAACATTGCATTCAGTTTTTATTCACAATTTGTTTAGTGTCCCAACTTTTTTGGAATCCGGTTTGTATAATAACTCAGTTTCTTACTAATCTATTAATATTAATCTAACATTTAAGCTGCTTTATGAAACTGCAGCTGGTCAAGGCTGGAATATTCTTATTATATTTTACAGCTAGACAATTTAGAAGTGCACCCATTTCTTTTTTATATTAAGCAAACCTATCTATAGTTTATCCTGATGCATGCTCAACAATCCAGGTAGAAAAATAATTTAAAAAAAAGTTAGGTAAGCTATGTATGTATGTTCTTTGTAGTATCACAAAACGTTACTTCATTTAATTAATATATTAATAAACTTATTTTAGAAGTAAACAATGCCACATATTGAATTTGTTACATGCTTAAAATGACTTATAAAGTCCAAGCTATTTATTTGTTTATAAATACAGTACATGTACTTCAGTAGTGCTTAAGTTAAACTGACTTTCAGTTTACAAACAACACAACCCATACCATTTAAAACACTACCTGTATTTAACTGTTTAATTATCATTTATGTGCACTGAAAGTTTTCATACATTTATTAGTTTACATTAGTTGACAGCCAAAAGCCCAACTAAGAACTACAAAAATGGCGGACAGCGTGGCACGTTCTATGCGACACAGCTCTGGATTGAACATGCTTTATTCACATCGTTACAAAACAGCCGCTATTCTCTGCGTTTGCTCCGAATGGAAGATAAAACTCTTACAAAGGTTAAATTCCTGCTCACAAACATGCATAACAGAGTTAAAATATTTATCTGACGCCACTGTCTACTTTCAGTCTCATTGTATCCAATGTGTTTAAGTTATGCTCCGAATAAATTAAATCTATTAGTGATGAAGGGCAATAATAGACTAGCAGGTAACATTAGCTATTAGCCGGCTAGCTAACGGGCAGTCTGGACGCAGCAACTCTAAAATTGAACCACCGGTCCGGAAGACTCGTGCTCGTCCTACCTGCCGTAGAAAGATTAAAGTCGAGTGTATAATGTCGCACTGCCATGTCTCACTGCGACCGACATCCATGCCTGGGGGAGCAGGCTGCGGATATTTATCTGCAGAGACAGAGGGAGGGCCTGGCTGCTACCCACATTTTGCGCCACTGCTGCCGCTCCGCACTGCACATGCTGAAGTAGGCGGGGCCAAAGCGGCGCATGAGCATTACTGCGTCACAACCAGGAAATGAGAGACCAGGTCGAAATTTTTATAACTTTTAATATTTGAATATGAAAAAATGTGAAATAATGACTATTCATGATCATCCGCTGGATGCTGTTTGTAATGTCCCAGTTAAAAAAGTAGTGAAGTATTTAGAAATTAATATTTCAAAAGAAAAAAAAATGATTGAAGCCTCCAACAATAAAAACTAAAATCCAGAGTGGTAAAGTTATTCTCAACAGTTGGCTCCGAAGAGATTTATCTATCTTTGGACGTGTTCTACTCACTAAAATGGAAAATTTATCTCAGCTTATTTACCTGGCCTATTTATTGCCCATATTTAATAAAATGATAAAGAAGATAAATCAGAACAATTTTAATTTTATTTGGAGCAACAGATGTCATTATATTAGAAGAGCTGATGTAGTTAAATCTTTAGAGGAAGAGGGGTAAATTTTTTTTTAAATTTAGAAATTTTTTCATTTAATTACACTAAAAATAAAATGAAAGGCAACAGAAGATCTGCCCCTTTTTTCCATGAATGTATTCAAAAGAAAGTAATTTACAAAAAACAAAGCTAAATAAAAACAACATGAACTCAAACAACAATTTGTATAGATTCACATTATACTTTTCCATATTCCTGCAGAAAACTAACTTTTAACATTTTCTTGAATATGTCAGAGTTTCTTTATTGTCATTCGCACCTCATGTGGTACATGTGGTGGAGCGAAATTATGTACACGGGGTCCCAGTTACATCCGACAATAAAATGTATAAGAAAAACAGTAATAACATCTAAGATATGAACTAAGAAAAACACCAACTAAATATACACTAAGCACTCATAACATAAAACATTGAACATCAGCACAAACATGAACATGAGTCTGTGAGCAGATGTGCACGCATGAACACATCAACATTGAAACAGATCAGCAGCAACATGAAACAGATCAGCAGCAACATGATATGTTTTTTCACAGTGATTATTCTAGTTAGAGATTCATGAGTCTAACAGCCTCAGGGTAGAAGCTGTTCCTCAGTCTAGTGGTTCTACACTTAATGCTCCTTAACCTCCTTCCTGAGGGGAGTGGGGCATATGTAATATGTATCTATGTACATAGATCTAGCAGTTTTAACATCATCCTTCAGACCATTCCACAATCCTATTCCCTGAATTATAGTAGACCGCTCCTTCAAACTGGTATGAAACCAACGCTAAATATGATTGATTTTGATCCAATGAATGGTACCATCCAACTCAAATGGTTGCAAAATTTCATAAACAACTATGAAAGCTTTTGGTATATTTTTCCTTGTAAGATTTTTGAAGAGTTTGGTGGGATTATTTTTCTGTTAAACTGCAACTTTGACATTTCTAAATTACCAATAAAATTATCAGACTTTCATAAACAGGTTCTGCAATATTGGAAACTTATCTTTAAATACGATTTTTCACCACATTTGGTCCCGATTTGGAACAACAGATGCATCCTGATAAAACGAAAATTGTTCTTCTACAAAGATTGGCTGGAAAAGGGTATTTGGTCTGTTACTTTATGAAAGAAAATGGCAACCTTTTATCATATGATGATTTTATTGGAAAAATACACATTAAATTGTATTAAAATCAAATTTTAAAGAGTGTTAAAGTCAATTCCTTCTGCTATGATTCAGATGGTTAAATGTATATTCAAATGTTACTCCAAATAAACCATCTTTGATCATAAATGGTTGTGACTTTATAGACAGAAAATGTAATAATAAATGCATAAGGAATACTCTGACCTCAATTCCCTTCCCATGTACACTGAAAATAAAACATTTATTTAAAAATTATGATAATATATCTAAAAAAAAAAAAATCAAAACCAAATATCTTTCCTATCCACTCTCACAAAAAACTAAAGAAATGAATTTCAAAATTATGTATGAAATGTATCCTTGTAATGACTTTCTGCAAAAGAAATTTAATATACCAATTTCTGTGCATTCTGTAATTCAGATATAGAGACAGCAGAATATATATATTTTTATTGCAATTTGATTAATGCTTTTTGGAAAGATTTTCAGAATTGGATCATATCTAAGAGTTCTATTCTACCTTTGAATTTTACAATAATAAAATTTGGACTGTTAACAGGGGATGAAGTTTTAAATTATGGTAACAACAATTTAATCCTTATGGCTAAGCTTTTTATCCACAGCCCAACTCATGGGCTGTGACAAAAATGGCAGATATGCAGGTTTGAACTACATGTAAATAAAAAAGAAAGTAAAATCATGTGTGACTAGTACAGTCAGTGAGACTGTAGGCACAGAAGACTGGAAACAAGTTTGTGGACCAGAGTTTGTGCATTTTGTGGGTCTTTAATTTTCCCCTATCTACAGCTGTACCCGCTCCAGCTTCAAATCTGGACTCCAGTGTTTACCTTCATGCCAGGAGCTCCCAGTGAGGCTGATTAGCTGCGTCCACCAGGACCCACAAAGAAGCAAAAATCCATCAGCATTCTCTCTGTTGTACAGGAAAACCAGACAGAGGAGGCTGCCAAGCCAGGATTTGACCTTCCTGCTGTGAGGTGACGGCTCGGAGGAGTCAGGTGTTACGTTATATTAAAATCAAAATAGAGCCTTTCATCTATTTATAGCTGATCAAATATTTTCCATGCTGTTCATCAGAGGAGACCGTGCAGCAGTCTTTAAATAAGTTACATCTTTCTGTCGGTGTCTGGCTGAGAGGAACGACTCAGTGGTATTTACGTGGCAGCCGAGACAAAAGATGATTACGTTTTCAGATTTTGTTGTATTTCCTTCAGGATGCACAAAACCATCAGCAACATTTGCACAGAGAACAGTTTTTTTCTTCTCATTCAGACACTATGGGGGAAGTCCTTCCAGTTTGTTTTATCTATCCATCCCTTCATGTGCTGGAGTCTGGTTCAGACATCTCTCGCCACAGCCGCCTCTCCCAGCTCTTCTGGAAGGACTCCAATGTGTTCCCAGGCCAGCTGAGAGATGTAGTCTCTCCAGCATGCCCTGGGCCTTCCCCGGACTCTCCTCCCAGTTGGACATGTCCAGAGCACCTCCCTATAGAGGCGTCCAAGGAACATCCTTACCAGATGTCTTAACCACCTCAACTGGCTCCTCTGGATGTGGAGGAGCAGCGGTTCTACTCTGAGTCTCTCCTGGATAACTGAACTTCTCACTCTTTTAGGGAGAGTCCAGCTACCCTGCAGAAGAAACTCATTTCAACCGCCTGTATCCACGATCTCATTCGTTTGGTCACTACCCAGAGCTCTTGACCATGGATGAGGGTAGGAACATAGACGACAGGTTTACTGGTAAACAGAGAGCTTCTCCTTGCAGCTCAGCTCCCTCTTCATCACAGCAGACTGGCACAGCATCCACAATACTGCAGAAGCTGCCGATTCATGAATTTGCCGCTCAGTGCGCGGTCAAATGGCCGTGTCCGGCTGGTATTGTATGGCAAGCCATGTTGCCATATAATTGGATCGTCAGCCACGCGTGTCCGCTGATGCAATCAAAAGCCCAACAGCCCGGCCCGCACATTAAGCCCATTATTATGACCCGGCTTGGCCCTAACCGGGCCGGGGTTCATGTTAGAAATGATATCTCTAAGAAGGGAGCTTCTCAATTCCCCTGTGGGCTGCACATAGGTGCAGCAGGTGCTAAATAATTTAAAATAATTTATTTAAATAAACAATCCATGCTGCTCGTGTGGCTCATCCATCAACCAGCCAGTTGTGTGTCATGTCAGGTGCATCAGAACAAGAACAAACAGGTTCAAGAACAGTTTTTTCCCGAAAGCCATCACCACACTGAACTCACACATGCACTGATTTAATAATCTAACCTCCCAAACACCTGGACTTCTACTGTGCAATACTACTGACATTTCATACTCTCAATCACCTTAACTACCTCACTAATATCCATAATGTGCAATACAATTGTGTAATACTTGTATTTTTTTACTTTCATTATTATATCTATTTTGCGTTACATTTTTTATATTTTTAGTGTGTTTAATGTGTGTTTTTCTTAAGGCGTGTTTTTGCACTGGAAAAAGGAGTGTCTCTTAATTTCATTGTACTGCGTATAATGACAATAAAGGCATTCTGATTCTGATTCTGATGTCCAAACGTACTTTGAAAACCACAAAAGAGCGAGTACACTTAAGTCGAAACACTAATTAGCGAGGGACTACTGTACATGAATGTTTCTGTTCAGTGCCTGGAAATGACTTCTGTTGTGACTTGCGACATAAATAAACTGAATTGAATTGAATTGAACTAATGAATTCAGCAATCATTCAGCTGTAATCAAGCCTGCTACTTGACATTCATTTTCTTCATCACTAAGTTCATTATTCTCACTCCACTCTGCTTCCTGTTCATTCCTTACTGATATGTCTAACTCCATCCTCATCCCTGTCTTCATCTCCGCCCCCACTTCCACTCTCTCCCTGCCAGATTGTCATTATGGCCTCACCTTCTTTGTCTTCCTCATCCTCACTCTCATCATCTGGCAGTATTTTCATCTACTTGAATTGACTTTTTTTTGAAGTGTCATAGAAAATGTGGATTAATCTCCAGTATTTAATAAGAACAAGTGCATATGTTGATCATTGTGTGTAATGTGAATCATTAAAATTAATAATATTGATAATAATAAACAGGCTGTGTAGCCTGGAGGCAACAAGGTACCATAGAGGGTTTTAATGAACAATTCAGTTCCAGCTTATTTGACAAAGTTCAGCAGAGTTATCCAGCTATCAGTATTTTTGCAGAAAATATGAATTTAAATAATATTTTTGCTGTCATAGATGGCATTTGTATGGGGAAATTATGCTGTTAATGGAGAGTGCACATTTTGTGTTTGAAAGCAGAAATTCATAGCTACACTTTTTTTTTTTTACTCAGGAACTTTTATTGACACTTTACATGTAAGTTACACTAGAGAAATGTAATATGTAGAAAACTTTAAAAAATGTAATAAATGTTCTGATGCATGCTCAATAATGCAGGTAGAAAAATCTAAAAAAGTTCAGTCAGGTCCTCTGGACATTCAAAAAATAAATAAAAAAATTGTAAGATTGTAAGAATTGTAATTGTAAGTCAAAACATTTCATTTGGGAGTGGTGGCGCAGAGGTTAGAGAAGGTGGGCCTGTGATCAGAAGATCGTCGTTTCAAGCCCCGGTACCGACAACATCAAAAATGTGGGTGGGGTAGGTGAAGCACCCAAACCTGCCCCCACCCTCATTCGTCCCACTCTGGACCCATGAGCAAGGCCCTTAACCCCCATCTGCTCCCTAAACAGGTCTCTCTTGAAAATGAGTTCTCGTGGCTCAATGAGACTACCTGGATAAATAAAGGGTAAATGAAAAAAATATATATTCTACAATTTTTTTTTTTTACGTCCAGAGGAACCTGACTTAACTATTTTTACATGTAATAAATGTTGAATTTGATACACGTGTAATCAGTTTTAAGTTTATTTAGTAAGTTTCATCAGACAAATACTGATCTAAATTTAGATAACATACATACATAAGTTTGGTAACAATAGTAATAATATGGATCCATTTTTTTTATATCTAATGACTGCAGAAGCACAAGACTTGAAGTACATCATCATTAAAACTTAATCTTTTGTTCATGTCTGTGATATGTGTCTATATGTCTCTGCGTTAGCAAAATATTTCATGAACCACTGGATGGATTTGAATTAAACCTGCAGAAAGTAACCTTTGTGCATACGTCTACAGCTGATGAGCTGACTTCAGAGTGAGAACAAACAGCTGAACGAGTTTCATCACCTTTATTTAAATGAGTGAAATAAGGAAAATAAGTGACTAAATAAATAGGTTTTAAAGTAAAATGCAGTAAACCTATAGGATGACAACATGTTGACTGACAGGAACAAACTCAGTGCATGGAGGCAAAAGCTTTAAATGAGCTCTTTGGTTTGTCTCTAAACCCAAAATTTACTGCAAATCCATTTTAATCCAGTTAGAGTTATACAATACATATGATAATCCAGAAATGTTACGCAATGAGCTGCATCAAATTCTGTGCATGTATGGAGGCTAAAAATGTGCGTTCCAGGCAGTCAGAATTGGACGTTACAGCAGAATCCACAGCAACTCTAATAAATACAAGAAACTGAATGGAAACCAAATACTTCCAACATCAACACAACATTAAATCAAATACAAATGAAGTATACACATACCGTATTTTTCAGACTATAAGGTGCACTTAAAATCCTTCAAAAATCGATAGTGAGCCTTATAATCAGGTGCGCCTTATGTATTAATTCTGGTTGTGCTTACTGACCTCGAACCAATTTTATGTGGTTATTGTGAATGAGTTGAGTAAAGTTTAACTGCTTTGTTTCATTTAATGCGCCATATAGTCCGAAAAATACGATAATAATATATTTTGCAGTATTTTTCCTCATTACAATGTCCACTGTATCTCAAAAGGTGCCAAAAATGACTTTTTTACAACAAGATAAAGACAATAAGTGGCAGTAACTATCAGCAGTATCAACCTGTTTGTCAGAAGAAGCAATGAGGCTTTCACACGGTTCTGTCAAAATCAGACAAATTCTTGTGACCTCTTAAATACATCTGTAACCATCGTTAGAAAGTGAACCCACCACAGTCAAAAGCATCAAAATCAGAGTCTGCCACTTCAAAGTCAAAGCTGTTGTAATGCGGGGAGTCGACCGCAGCACTCCGGATGTCGCACACCCCCGCAGCCGGGCCGGCGCCGGAGAAGTCTGAGTTGAGTGGCAGGTCAGCTTTGACATCCAGATTGAAGGAGGAGCACGCTCCGAGGTATCCCACAGCAGAGGAGGCGGCAGCCCCGCCCATCAGCAGGTAAACCCCCTTCATGGCCTGAGCGTTGCTGATGGTGCCGTGGCGCAGACATCCCACGGTCGGTGCACATCGTCTGTAGGTCTTTGTACGCGGGGAATTTCTGCCTGTTGGAACGAGACGTTTTAAATAAATCAACAAGAGTAACACATACAGCACACTACACGTCCGTCGACAAACTTACAGCAATCTAAAACAATTGCCCGGACAAGAAAACACCTTTGACCTTGATTTGTGACCTTGAACTTGAAAGCTCACCATTCTCCCTCGGAGAAGCATTTGCTGTTGGTCCAGGGGAGGAGGACTCGGTGTCGCTGACAGGTGGAGTCGGTGGATCCTTGTCCAGAATTTGTTCGGGCACCAGATCTCGAAGAATGAGGCGTGGCGGGAGCATTTGGTGCCGCTTGCAAGGACTGAGGGGGGATGAGAGACTCTGCAAACAAGAGGAGAGCAAAAGTAAATTAAAAAATCTGCAGTGGTAAATTACAGTTTATTTCTGATTGACCTTAATTAACACACATTTTTTATGTAAACTAAATAGTGCCAGATGTGAAGATAGAAATATGATAACTGTTTCCTTGTTTTGGTGAAATATTTTATTTTGTAAGAATTCAGTAAAGTTAGAGAGTCCCACTTCTCACAACTTGTAAGAAAATCTTTAAAAAAAAATCTGAAATAATAAAGATTTTCCTTTAATGTTGATAATCTCTACCAGGACTGCACAACTCAGTGATGCTGACATCAGTTCAATGATGCTAAGTTCATTTAAATAAAATACAATTTAAAATTGTAAATCTTTCGTAATGACAGTAACTGCAGGATCCCTGGCCCCTGAACTGTTGGCTTTCAGAAACTGTGATGACTCTGCAGCATGTGGTAAAAACACGTTTTTTAATCATATCTTTTATTCAGATTTTAGACTCCGTATTAGTGATGCTAATAAATCAAGTTAATAAATGAAGTAAGCAGGTGGTGCTTTATTAAAGGTCCATAACCTTATAGTGATGTGCTGATGTCTGTTTTCTTATTCAGAAGATAGAAGATTCCTGTAAAGAAGTAAAAAAAAACACCTGCTGCAGAAACACGTCAGGTGTCCAATGTTGAAACGATTATTAATAAATTAAAATGAGCGTTGTCAGCCATTTAATAGTTGAACTATGTGAAGTTGTATTTGAGCAGTTCTTTGTTCAAATGCTACTGATCTTATAAAAATATATTAGTCTTAGCAAATTCATGAACAAATTTAACAGCAAACCACTTATTTTTTTGTTTAAGCCTCTGGCATTAGTTGGGCTCCGTACTTCATTCTTGTACGTTGCAGTCGATGCTCTTCGTCGTTTAAAGCCTGACTCACACTGTGATTGTAAACGACTGGAACATGTCTGTTTGAGCCCAAGTTTCTCTGCACATTGAAATACTTATTAATAACTGGACAACTTCTTGCTGTAGGAGAGCTCAGTACGGCATCGTACTGTCTGTGAATAAAAATAAATTAGGCTCTTAATATGATATTCAGGCTCTAAAAAGACATGGAGGAAGAGGAAGAAGAAAGGACAGCTGTGGGGGCTAATGGCTGAAAAAAAGTGGACTTTTCAGACTGTTGTTGATCCTGCTTGGTATTTGTTGTGAGCGTGCTGAACCGGCTGTCGATGATCCCATCACTCTGAACGATCACAGGATGCTGATTCAAGATCTTTTTTTAAATGACATTAATAGCTGTGTGAACCAGCTTAACAAAAAGTGTACACGCTCATACCTTTCATCTAACCTACAATTACTACCTGTGTTATAGTGAGAATACTAAATTAGTGAACATGATACTTTATGTCTGCTATAAAACATTTTGTTAGAGCTCCCACTTAAAAACGGACAACCATGCTGATGTTAGCATGCAGCACAGAGAGGACTTGTGCACACGGACTAAATCAGATGCGGGCAACATACGGCCCGAGGCCCTTGGGCAATCTTCAGCTGGCCCCTAATATTCTTAATTGAAAAGAAAACAATGTTTAAATAAATATTTCTAAGAAGTATTGGGGAGACTTTTTTTTTTTTTATCAAGTAAGCTAACTATGCTACAATAAGAAAAAGACTGAAGAAAGTCTTCCACAGTTTCTTTTCCAGTTCTCTGTGCGGCCCTTCAATTGCTTTAAACATCTTTATTTGACTGTCTGAAGAAAAAAAAAAGTTGCCCACCCCTGTCCTTAATGATCCAGAGTCTGCTTTTATGTTATTTATTTAATAAGTATTTTCCCTGACAATAAACATGAATTGTTGACTTACCATTTTCACCTTTTTCAGCACATTCAGCCACTGACTAAAATGAGAAACGAAAACATTGTTATGTTTAATTTAAATCACAGAAACATCAGCACAAAAATTTATGGTTGTTAATAACTAAGGTTTACAGGAATTAAATGTGTCGTAGTATTTTGTTGTTAATTTATATTCCTGCTTAACAAAACTGATTGCTCTGATAATCTGTGATAACAGGAGGGATGTCCTTGTGAGATTAAAGTCAAGTTAAAATATATATAAATAATAATGTAATATAAAGAATAAATTAAAGAAAAAAAGACCGTTTGGAAATGCATGAATTAATGAATGAAAATGTAAACTCCATAAATCGAGTAGTCTACAAGGTGAGCTCCTCACCTGCATTCTGGGGGGTTTTCTGCCAGCAGCAGCAAGTATTTATTCTGAGGGAGGATCAGAGCAAAGCAGCACTCCCTGCACGCGCCTGAAGGTAGTTTAGGCAGGTCCAGGATCTCCTTGCCTTCCACAATCGCCTCGCAGCTGCTTTGCAACAGAACAGTCTGTTCAGGGGGGGACAGAGCATCGTGGCACACAAAGAGACTGCCCTCAGCGGTCAGACGCAGGAACCTTTTCTTCCACTGCTTGAACAGAAATCCACCTGGATGAGAACATTGATGTCAGAGATCATGGCAGCAGCGTGAGAAATGCACATGTGGATTAAAGAGTGAACACTGAGTCGCTCCATCATCTCAGCCGATTAGATTAGAGGCAGTCAGATGATGGGAAGATCAGGAGGATGTTGGGTGAGATCGGTACAAACTGTTCTACAAACACAGAACCCATCATCAAACACACACAGGTGGAAAAAAGCTACGTTGAAACAAATCCTTTATAGTTAAGATGCTACATCTGATATGATGTCATTTTAAACTAGAGAACGACACTTCCTGTGAAAACACAGTGTGGAAGTTTATTGCTGAATATTTCAGCTGAAAGATACTGAAGAAGACAAAACCAGCTGAAAAGTTTTCATCTCTGAACTGAAAAGCTAACATTTGCTGAAAGCAGAAAAACAGAAATGAAATGTGTAAATAAAAGCTGAACAGAGCAAAAAAAACAAACAAACAAACAAACAATCTGAAATGAGCATAAAATAATGAAACCAGCAAAAAGAAGCTGATAAAAAACCAAAAATGCTGAAATGAGCAGAAAAAGTTGTAAACGGTTCAAAGGGTCTGAGGATGTGAAGAACTCCATCCATTTTCAATGAGAAAAACATGGCAGTCAAAGCTAAATACTTAAAAAAGTAAAAATTGCAAAATATACCATAAGTCAGAGCAGGAATGTCCCGAATGAGATGAACGTTTGGATTTATGAATTGTTGAAAATTAAAGAACGTGTTGCATGCTGAAAACAAACAGATCTAAATGGAAAGAATGATTAGAAACATCCAGACTTTGAGTTTTTTTACTCTGGATTAAAATAGGAGGTTAAAATCAGAAACACTGATGCATTTTTATTCTTAATCAGCACAATCACAACATCCTGTCATTTAATCCCATTAAAACCCTTAGAAAAAGTCAAAAACTTCCCCAGAGCTAAACATGAAATATACATTTGTTTGTTTTTTAAATGTATTTTCTCTCCTGATGCTGCCATTGATCCGACTCACCATACATCCTGAGCACCCCGTGGTGAATCCCGGAGGCGTTCATCCTCACAGACCATGGATGACGGTCTGAGCGGCTCAGAGAGAAATGTTTGAGGATGTTCGCAGAGCACATGAGGTTCAATGTGAGTTTTAATACTCATCCTTAATCCTCAGTCAGCTGGGACGCACTGGAGCTACCGCTCAACGGCTCGGGAGGAAAAGTAGGTCGAGATGTCACACGCAAACAGATGGATACTGTGCAGAGATGCTGAAAAGAACACTTCGGTTATACATACATATTCAGCTAATAATAGAACAATTTGATCGATATAGCTGTTCAAAACAAATATTCGTTTAACCTTTATTTATTTAGCTTAGTCTCATTGAGTCATCATGAAGACTCATTTTCAAGAGAAACCTGTTTTAAACAAAAAAAAAACACAGATTAGGTACACACAACAATCAACAGTCATAAAAGCATTTAAAATGAAAAGAAATAAAGGTAGTGAGTGATATAAAATGAAACAAAAACAAGCTACATTATGAAAGGGGGTAAAATACTAAAAACAGGAACATGTTTGCATTGATTTTTGTATTGAACTCAATAATTGTTTAAAATCCCTTAGCGAGGTCAAGGTCGACAGCTTCAGATCTTTTTTCAAAGTGTTCCAGGAAACAGGAGTGAAGTAAGAGAAGGTCCTTTTGCCGAATTCAGTCTGAACTGAGGGTACACTGCAGGTAATTATGTCTTGAGGGTGCACGCTGTAGCTGCACTGACGAAGTGATATGTAGGAGGAGATGTATGAAGGCAGCAGACCAAGAAGTGATGTAAAGATGAAAATGTACCAGTGAGAGAGTCTGCATGAAGTTAATGATGTCCAGTTAACCAGTGAATACAGGGTGCAGTGATGGGTATGATAATCACAGCCAGTTATGAATATCAGTGCACCATGATAGACAGTGTCCAACATCTGAAGAGTGCTTGTAGGCGCGTTCATGTAAATAATGTCACCGTAGTCAATGGGCGAAAGGAAAGTCGCAGTTACAAGGTGGTTCCTAGCATTCAGAGTTAGACAGGATCTATTTCTGAAAAAGAAACCCAATTTTAATTTCAATTTCTTTAGCAAGTTTTTGATGTGAGGCTTAATAGAGAGATGTGCATCAACCAAGATACCCAAATATTTGTAAGAATCCACAAAGTCAATAGGGACGCCATTCGTAAATAAGAGGAAGGACAGCTGGGACTGACTTCTTGTTTGAAAACAACATCCCTTTGGTTTTATCAGCATTTACCACCAGTTTGAGATGGAACAAATCTGACTGGATATCGAATACAGACTGTAAAAGCTGGAAAATCTTAGCAACTGTTCTAGCTCGACAATAAACAACTGTGTCATCGGCATAGAAATGTAAGGATGCATCTGGAATGGTCTGACCTACATTACGTATGTAGATTGTGATGAGGGTGGGTCCTAAGAATGAGCCTTGTGGTACTCCATTGTTGACAGTTAAATTGCTGGAAGAAATACCATTATGTTGAACACGTTGCCCCCGATCTGAGAGATAATTAGAGAACCAACCAATAGTGGGATCTGAGAAACCAATTTTTTAGAGCTTATGACATAAGATGTTATGATCCAATGTCAAAAGCTTTAGACAGGTCTAAATAAAGTGTAGCACAATAATATTTAGCATCCAGTGCTTCAACAATGTCATTACTGTAAAAACCTTCAACAAAGCAGTCGTTGTCCTGTATTGTTTCCTGAAACCAGATTGATGGAGAGGTAAGATGTTAAAATAATCCAAATACTTCTTGACTTGAGAGTTTAACATTTTTTTTTTAACTTTAGCAAGAATACAGTTTAGAGATTGGTTGATAGTTGTTCAATAGTTGTTCAGTATACTGGAGTCACCTCCGCCTTCAGCAGAGGTAGAACAAAAGCTGTTTTCCAAACTTCTGGAACAATATTTTGGCTTATGGACAGGTTAAAGATGCGAGACACCGGTTCTGCTGTGATTTTCTCGTTCTGGTATGCATACAGCTTGTTTGTTTACAACATGTTGAGCTTTGCCCTTTGCAAAAAATAAGCAAAACCGTAAATGTAATACATCATTTTTATTATTTCAAATGCAGACTGAATTTAAATACAAAGACATTCAATTAAAATATGTTTTAAAACTGTAAAGGTTGCATTTTAAAAGACACTTTTGAGTTTGGTCTAATCAGCATCAGTGCTAAGGACATCTTAAATGCAAATAATTATTCACTTGTAAAAAAAAACCATCCAATTTAAAAAAAAATATTTGGCGAATCTCCACCTTTCACATTAAATTTTACAAAGTTTTATTGCAACCTTTGCTGTTTTGTGTCAAATTATAAATATAAAACAAAATGTTGTGTTGCCACATCACTGCTGATATACAAATGACACAAAATATGTCAACAAAATAAAAATCAATTTAATCACTTTTCCAGACTATTATTTTCTCTGATTAAAAAAATAAAAATAAAAAAATCAAACAGTATGTGAAGGAGTATCTGAAAAAACTAAACTGCTAAAGAAAAAAGTCAATAAATTACAACGTTAAAAGTTGCTAAAGAAAACTAATAAATCTAAGCAAATAGAATAGACAAAGCGTAAAGTTAAATTCCAGGTACCAGCAATCCTTCCACAGATAAATGCACTTGTGTGTGTTGGCATGCAGTTTGTGTTACAGATTCGGCACTGCACTTTATACAATATTTCCACTTAGCATTTGTTGATGACAAAAATCAATTATATATATATATTTATTAGTGTGTCTTGATATCAATACTTGTACTCAAAGAGACACCACAGTACTTCGGGGCGACACCATTTTAATGCTTGGTGATGTCATTCTTTCTTTCACTTTGCAAGTAACCGAGGACAGAAAATAAAAAAGTCCACATTTTAGAGATATATTAAAATAATCACAGATGTTAAGATAGCAGACTGTCTTCTGTGCGCTTAATAAAATATAATATAAATGTGTTTATAAAGTCATTGTGTAATATTTAGGTTAATTAACTACTTGGTATTAGCACTCAGTATTGGCAAGTACCAAAGCTGAAGTACTTGTACTTGGTCTGAAGAAAAATAGTATTGGGACTCCCCTATTACATAAATCTGTAGGCTAAGAAAGCTGATCTTCATATTGCTTTCTGAAACAATCTCCAGCAGGAAAAAAGTCCCAGCAGCGCTCCTGGTACATCTTCCACACATACGACTCCTAAAACACAAAAAAAATATTCAAAATTAACTCGAAAAGACAAATTTATTAGTGATTTTAATTTAACACACTAAACTGACCTGTCCAGTGTGCTCCGTCTCATCTTTGTTGATAAGATACATTAAGAAGAACCTGAAAAATCCTCACATATTAGTCTTGTCTCATTTATACAGGCAGATGAGCACGAATGTGTCAGAGGGACACCTACATGTAGTTGGCCAAGTTGTGTTCGTCAAAAGTGTGCGTCTCAAAGCCGTGCGGCGTTGTATCAAAGTAATCACTCCCGATGCCACATATGAAGCATTTTGTCTGGAAAGAAATCACTGATGAGAATAACAGCCGTTTATGTTTAGAGAAAGTTAAAAATGTTCATTTAAAGTACAAAAGTATCGAACTGTACCTCCATGTCTTCTTTAACCTGTTCTTGTTGATCTCTGAGTTCTCCAAAGGCATCAATGATTAAACCTGCAGGGTTTTGGCAGAAGATGATTACGGTAATTATTTGGAAATTTTCATGAAAACCCCTCACATGCCAAACATATTTTGAGGTAGATCTCTAAAGGTTTAAAGGTTTTTTCTTTTACTTTACTTTTAGTTTAACACAAACAAGCGGTGCACTGATGTCCCCCGTCACTGAGGGCTTTGAATAGTGAATGTTGGGCAGATTATTCAGCAGAGCTTCGTCCATCCTAATCATTTGAGGAAACTATACTTTTAAGCAATATAAAAACTAGACAGCATGGTTTTGTCAAACAATTGAGGTGGCTGGTTTACATATATGGTGGTAGCCATCTTGGATTTTGACATACAGTAGTAACTCAATCTCTGATAAGGACCTTTCTTACATCTAGATTCAATTCAGTTCAATTCAAAATACTTTAATAATCCCAAAGAGAAGAAATTAAATGCTGTAGCTCATCATCCTGGTTTCAGTGAGTTGTTATAGATGCTGATGGTTGTGTGCAGGAAGGATTTGCAGCAGTCTCTACTACAGCGGATCTGAAGAAACTGGCTGCAGATGCCGATTTGTCCACCAGGACCCAGCGGGCCTCTTGTGCAACAGGACCACCTGAATGCTGGGCAGAACTCTTGCCTGAGCAATGTTCACTGCTCTTAGCAGCTTGTTGAGCTCCTCATCATAGCAGACAGCCAGCTTCAGGTGTCGGTGGATGATCCTGGTCTTCTTGTTGACATGAGCCATGTTTCCTGCCAGCTCCAGGATCTCAGCAGTCTGTTACTTGAGTACTTCCGCCAGGTAGACGGAGATGAATCCACAGCGCCTCCTTTACAACTTATTTGGGATTTGGGGATGTATTTGAGGTAATATTTGAGCTTTGAGATGTTAATCAGCTGCTCCTGGTTGTAAAAAATACACCTTGTTGTCATGGTTATGCATCATAACAAATGTTCAAAAGTAAAAAGGTTTCAGTAAAAATCCTTCCAGCTGCACATGTTCTGATACCAGAGGTAGTAATAATCTGAAAAAGGCCATTTACATCCAGAAAAAGAGGAAATAAAGTTTTCAAAAGCAGTATCCCAGAATAATAGAAACAACTACTCCAACATGCAGCCACCTTGAGCAGCACAATTCTAGATGCAGCCACATACCAAAATGGAACTTGGTACCTCACTTGTTTGTCAAATTATTAGGCTCACAACCTGGATGTTGAGCCTAATATGGAGGACGGAGGGGATTTACAATTCTTTTTTTCACTCCGCAACAGGGGACAACAAAATGATAAATACATTTAGGAAACGTCTTTCAGGACAGCCTCGTCTTTACCCTGAATAATGGCCAGTAGAATGACAATGACAAAGAAGAAGAACGTTATATCAAAGACAACTCGATAGAGCTCGTATTCGTCTCCTGCAGGATCCTCGATCTCATCTCCGATGCCTCCACCGGCGCGCACGCCCACATACATGTGGAAGAGGTAACACTGTGAAGGACAAAACGTGACTACAGTTATACTAGGAGGTGATGCAACCATCCTATAATTTATCAGTAGGGACGTACAGTCATCATGTCATCGCATTTCATATCCGGTTCATCTTCATCCTCACTCTTGTTGTAAAACTTGCGGAAGAAATTGAAAGCAACGACGGTGTAAAGGTACACCACCACGGCCAGCAAACCCACTGTCATCATGAGCTGCAGAGGCAAGACAGAAAATAATGTATTTGTACACACAGATTAAAGCAAACAAAACCTCATGGGGGGGGGGGGGGGGTCAGCTCTTGCCTGTTTGCCGTTGTGAGTGACCGAGGACAGGATGGTGCGTAACGTCTTGACACCCATCGCGATATCCAACAGGTGACAGGCAAAGAAGAAGTTGTTGTAATGGCCGAGCAAAGACATCACCAGGTACCAGCAGAGATAAAGAAAAGTCTACAGAAACACACGCATGTTGTTAAAAATGTGACCAGAATAGAACGAGGCAGAATAATCAAGCACACCTTCACTTACACCATCTGTGAACACAACTCCAAATTTCCAGATCTGGTACTTGATGTCAATGGAAGTCATCCTAAAAGACAAAATGTGCCTTTTTAAACGAATAATTCCAGGTTTAAGGAACCGAGTTGCATGCGCTTTGTTGGCTCGTCTTGATGATACTCTACCATGCAAACACAGAGTTGTCTGGTTTCTCTGGTTTCTTCTCATGTTGTTGACTCACATCCAGGGAGGCTAAATCAACACCAAGCAGCTCAGCGATTCTCTCTCGTCCGTAAATGTCTCCATACTTGTCCAGAACCTGCACACAGAAGGCACCTTGTATTACACACCGTCATGTCATTTTAACATCACAAACAAAGAAGAACTCACTTTTCGTTTGACAAATTTATCCCAGTAGTTGTTTGGGAAAGAACTGCAAAGACAGACTAGATCATTACACGTTAACAAGAAAAGTATTTTTTGTTAGGAGACATTTTGTTGTCCTCCTACGGTGTATTTAGGACTAATCGATCCCATTGTCCCTTGATGTCATCATCCTCCGGCTGCTCAGTGATGTAGAGGCCATCAAACTCCAGCTTTCTTGCAAGTTCCTTCTCTCTTTTAAAGATCACCAGTGGGATCTGACAGAAACAAATCCTGTTCAGAGTCAAACATTTGAAACAAAACTCTGAAATACAACAAATTAAATCATGGTGTTTTTTACTAGGCCTTGTGTACCTTCAGACAGTTGTACCCAATTATACAGATAAATGAAATGATGGTGTGTAGCATGGCGAGGAAGGCCAAAGTTGGCTGCATGTATCCAGTGCTCTCCTCTAAATAATAATACAACATGACTTCTTCTTCTTCTTCATCTCCTCCTTCATTTAGTCCAGATCCCTCCACCTCTTCTCCTGAGCCCTCGAACAGGCCAGAGCCCTCGAACTTCCCACTTCCCTCAGAAAGTCCAGATCCCTCGTCTTCCCCTTCAGGCGGAGTATCGGACACCTGAACGCAACAGAAAACCATTAAAACAGGAGATCCTTTCCAACTCGAGCTTAACTGAGTTACAGGCCATAAAAGAGATGTCTGACACAAAACAATGATGTGAAGACATCGTTTGGGTTTACCTTGTAGAACAGCAGAATGAAGTTCAGGGCAAATGCAAGGAACAGAGCCAAAAAACGCAGGTTGTAGAAGTTTCTTGAAAGGTAGTTCTACCAAAGAGAGATGGATACTTTTACATAATTTCAAAGTACTTCTGCTGTTATGCCAGCAAACATGTGAAATCATAAGAACAAACTGTGTCACCATGAATTTATTCCTTTGGGTTTCCAGCTCAGTCCAGATTTGAAAACCTCCTTCCTTTTTCTGCTTCTTTTCTTTTTTAGTTGCACATTTCTTAGGTTGGTCGGGCGGCTGGTCTTCTTTGCTTTTTGATTCTTTTTCAAATTTCTCTCCTGATTCAACACTGAAAATCAACAAAAATAAGCATATAAGACTTATTGTATGTCCAGATGCATGCTCAATAATCCAGGTAGAAAAATCCAAAAAAGTTCAATCTGGTCCTCTGGACATTCAAATAAACAAAAAA